TTTTTTTCAAACTTCATTTTTTCTTTTACACGTTTTATATTTTCATGCTTCATTTAGTCAAATTTGTCTTTTTCGATATAATTTTACCAGCTGCATTCTTTTTAAATTGCGTTTCACAGATCAGATTCTCTTCACTTCAAGCCCAGTACAAGCCCATAAAACCCAACCAATAGAAAACCTTTTAGTCCAGTGGAAAGAATGCAAGAAGAAAGCAATTTGGAAAACTTAATCTGAAAAAGAAATTATGAAAAAAAAAAAAGTAACACATACAATTTTAAAGAGAAAATTGGAGCAAATAAAACATTTGGAACAAAAAAGAAATGTGTGAAAACAGCAGGTTACTTTTTAAAACCTTTATTTTTTTAAATGCTTTTAAAATTTCTGGCTTGCAATTTTTTTCAGATTTTCATTTACTGTAATTTAGGCTAAAACCTTCATTTTCTGTAATTTCCCTCTGGGATTATTAAAGCATGTCTGATTCTGATTTACAAAACATGTTCTGTGCTATAAACAATAATAGAACAAAATTCACTCCATAAGCAGCTATATAAAATACACGTTTGATTAAAATTAATGTTTCAAAACAACTAAAATATTGTCACAATGTTCCCAAGTTTGAATAGAAAGAGAAAGTGTCTCAAACCACAAGGTTTCCTCCCCCACCTGTTGCTGCACACTGGCAATTAGCTGGTTAAACAAAGGATTGTAGACTTTAGCCTCTGGTAACAAAAAGGACAAGTTTGGCATTTGGGAAGGATTTTAGGTTGCAAAAAAATAAAGTGATGGCGTCCAAAGTAAAGCTTAACCCCCCAATTGTTCTAATAATAACAACACTGATTTATAGGTACAAACAGAAAACAAAAGAACACGAAGAAAAACAAACAACAAAACAGAGTATCTATTAAAAGTACTTAAGATGCCATGAAACACTGTTCATTCACGGACTAATGCAACAAAAGACTGACAGAAAAAGAAGAGCAGGATGCAGAGGTCTTGATTGGATTAAAATAATAGTAAAATTTAAAACAAAAAACACTTTCATCTGAAAATAGACATTTAGGGCAACAGAAAACTAATAACTCATAAAATGAGGGACACTTTTAACTCTTTTTTCATATTTATAAGTAGCTTTTTAATCTAAAAATTTTCAAAAATAAAAACAATGCACATCAGATAAATAATGCAACCTTGTTTGGCATTTATTTAATCATATTTAGTTACTTTAACACAGTTGTTTTTCCAGTCCTACCCTGCTAACATAAAAAAGGTTGTGTTAAAGTAACTCAATATGATTAAATAAATGCCAAAAAAAGGTTGCATTATTTTTTTCAGTGTACCACTGACAGAAACTCTGATTATTATTCCACATATATGTCATCATCCTAAAATTAAATTATATTATATAGTTTAATTTCATCCTAATCCACCAGCAGCCTTTGATTATGATCCTTAAAACTGATGATCACCTCCTTGTGTTTAACTTTTGCAGTAAAATCCAAAGCCAGCTGAAGTCTCACCTTTAAGGACTCCAGAGTAGGCAGCCAGGATGGTCTTCATGGTCTCTGCTGGGTGGTCTGATAATGGTCTGCAGACTGTGGAGCTACAGCTGCTCTGTCATCTCCGTCCAGCAGCAGCAGAGCGGACAGTTATTTAGGAACAGACAGGAAGGAAGCTTTGAACTGCTCCGTCTCACAGCGTGGGCGCGAGGCTGGACCGCGCGTGGGTAAACCTGAAGAAGCAGTGGCCACGAGACGCGGAGAGTCTGTGTATTTATGAAGGGGTGGTCACGTGGTGCCCGATCAGCTGCTGGTGGAAACAGAAACAGCTTTAACCCTCCACCTCTGCCTGCAGGTGGAGGAGAGCAGAGGAAACATGTTGGCCATGTTGGTTATTTTTGTAAATAGTAAACAAAAATGGTCATGTAATTTTAATTTGAATACAAAACTTCTGAAATCTCTCTGTTTTTTTTTTTTTTCCTTTTTTCCTAGCAGGGGCGGTTCTGTACGAAACTTACCACGGGGCCAGGGTGGGCCAAACAAAATTAACATGGAAGCAGCCTTCTAGGAGGCAATTTTCTGTTTTTTTCCCCCCTTCTTTTTCTTTATTTTACCCTAATTCTATGGTGGCCCTGAAGTGCAAACTGCAACTACAAATCTAAAAGCGCAACTACATTAAGGAAATCGCA